AGGGATTTTCCCCTAGACACAAAAGCAGCAGCCAGAGACACAGAAGATGGGAAGGATGGGAAGAATACACATAGGTATTCTTAAAGGCAGATGACACGAAGCTTCCAGGCTTGACAGCTTGATTCTTGATCCTCAATTTTAGGGCAAATATTCTTGTTTAACACAAAGGCCATATGACAGCCATGGTCATTCTCAGCCTTCCCAGGAAGGCACTTTGAACCTGGGCAGAGTTATAGCACAGCCCTGAGTAAAGGCTGACTACACCAGCAAGTCAGCACTTTGGAGAAGTTCCTTTTCCTTCCCTGGCTGCTGGAGAGATAAATTTACTCCAGGACTATCCAATTTATCTCACACTTCCACTTGGCTGGGATAGCTGGCATGTTCAGCTGTGCCCAATCCTTGACATCTCCAGGACTTAAAACTAGCATAGATCCTTAAGATCTCACCGGTAAGTCACTGACTCAGACAAATGCCTACACGCATTCAACGAACACCCAACTGTGCTAGGCTGGTTCACACTGCAGGATTCATGCACCATCTCACCCAGCCCTGAGGGGATCTTCAGAGCCTGCTTACTGGATCAGGCCTCAGCCAAAGGTGTGTTTGCACAAGTCCACCCCTCAAAGCTCAAACATCCTCCTCTGCCAAGCTTGCTCGGTTGTCTGCACGGAAGGGAACTGAGCTAGTGAGGGCAACACGACAAATCACAGCACTTGTATCTGTCACAAACAGTTTGCAGGACACCCGGCATTCACGCCTCGTCAGCCTAAGCCATCCTTATGCCCACTGTGTGTGCCTGCCTAGCCCTTATGAAGTCTGCTGCACTTAACTGACCAAATGTAAGAATGCTTTTGTTTGTATTTTGCATGTTTTTCTTCAGTGGAGGGGAGAAGGGAAAAGTGGGGGTAAGTCAACACAATACTGAAATTACAGCAAGCAAATAAAAATTTTCCATGTAATGCATCTTGGCAGGAACATGCTGTGAAAAGCAAACAGTTAGAAGGCCTTGCTAAAGAAAAGAAACAGGTGATTTTAAACCAGGACCAACTGTAATCAGCAGCATTTTAGCTCATTTACTCTGGCTGCTGCTATTTCCCACCTGCTGTTCTGCCAGTCTCTTCTGGATTTCTTGGTCATCACAGATGTCATAAACAACAGGCTTGGAAAGCTCAGACTCAATCTGGGCCAACCACGTGCGAAGGTTACTCATATTTTTGTCCAACAGTTGTATAAAAGCAAATGTTTCCTTCAGTTTCTTCACCCTAAGCAAACCAGGAAGAACATTTTGTTACAAAGATCTGCAATCAACGGAAACGATGTTAGCAGAAGGTGACGACAGGCATGGCTTTATGAAGCACTTAACTGTTGCACCAAGCTGTTGCCTGCAAATCAGAGCCATGTTTTAGTCAAAACCTACCTAAATTGGCTCAGACTCTGCTCTATAGCTGCAGGAAGGTCTTGTGTGAATTCTTTAATGAAACTATAGCAGCAGAGTGAATTTTCATCTGCTAGTGAGCTCTTCAGTCAGTTGTTGGATATTCGTCTAAGTGGGAGTTTGTCCCATAACATGCCGCAGCTAAACTAAAATATGCTAAAGTATAACATGCCGCAGCTAAACTATGGTCTGATTTGCCTGCTGTGAATTACATTCAGTGTCTTCTTCAGCAACCAACAGGCCCACCCTAATCAGCAAGGTACCACTCTGCCAACGGAGGCAGAATTTGCCCAAACCACAGGTTCAACACTCTGGGCAAATGGATGTTGACAGGTGAGAAGGCCTGAACAATGGCCACTGTAGAACCTAGAGCACTGTGACATTAAAAGCCCTTCTAAACAACACACTGAATTGTGCGGTGGGAGATGTGCCAGCCTCTTCTGGTGGGAGACAATAAAAAAAAAAAACACCAACCCTGAAGAGGGAGAATATCCAATGGCTAGAGAGACTTGTGCAACAGACAAGCAAATGAACCATTAAGACCATTTACTTTTCTTACAGCTGTTTGTAGCACAGCTCTCAAACTGTAGACAAACTTTTCTTTATTTCTAGCCTTTACAGCCTATTCCCATGTCACAACCGCTCATCAGCCTCTCAAATTATTCAAGTAGCATGTTTGTACATTTTGGCAAATTTGTCCCCATGTGTTGGAGGAATATCTGTTAAATTACCTCACTGCTCTCAAATCTTTCCTTGAAATTCTCATTTATTGCAATTCCCAACAAAAATTACTAAAAAGCCCAACATTAGAGTAACACTTATCTCTTCTAACTTCAGCCTGATATCGGAGCTTGCCATCTAGACCTTGGTAGTTGATGGAGGAAAAAAAAAAATACAGGTCATGATTTCCATCAGACCTGTCTTAAACATTCAGATCACAAGAAGAGATGAGATGAACTGTACCAAAGAGTATGTATTCCTCTCCATGAACTGCAATGGTCTACTCTGCAGTTCTATAAACATCAACACTGTAGATGCTAAAGTCAGGTCAAATCCTTCCACCTCTGTCCTAGAGAGAATCCACTCCTTAGCCAGCACTGCTCCCCCATGCTGTCCTCCTGGCTGCTTGCATCCCTTTGATGTCTAGTTCTGTCCCTGTGCCTTGGGATGGATTTTTGTACATTGCATGTGATTTTTAAAATGCAAATTTCTGAATTAAACCCTAAGTTACTGCCTGGTCTAGCAACTACCCAGATGAGCCTCATTATCTAAGTCAAGTGCAGTGCAAAAAGTTAAACTATGCATCGTGAAAAGGTCAAAACATTTCCCATTCATTAGCCACCACGACTGGGAACTGTCACCAGCTAAACCAAACCCAGCAGCTGCGACTGGAAGGGCAGCCTGTACAAGGGGATCACTGGATGTCCCAAAATGCAGGGGACTGTTGAGGGGTCTGAGATGAACCCTAATGTACTTGGGAACACCAGTGTCATGCAAGTTAGGCAGGGTGGGGGGAATGTAATCTCATCTAGTGTAGGCAGGGACAGATTACACCAAGACAGAAGGACTCTGACAGGGGACCTGGATGCTGGCTTCATGCAAAGCTCCTTGCAAGAAAAATGAGGAGTTTCCTGGCCCACTGTCCCGCCTGCTGCCAAACTATCCTAGCAAGTTTTAGAGGAGAGGGGTCCAAACTGCCTGTAACTGAGTGGCTTTTGCAGTTGCCTGTTGCAGCATATGATACAATGACAGAAGATATGCAGGACTGCTAATCCATAATGAACATGCCACCGTATAAGCAACAACCGATCTTATTAGCAACCTTAAGGTAATCAAAGAGGGATACGTATGTCAGCTAGACACTTGATTTAAGGTAACGCAATTACGGAGATGTGGGAATGATCCTGCTGGATTTGTTCAGTCCTATTGGTTACTGTGAAGGTACAGAGAAAGACCAGCAAATTTGGGGTCTCATAGGGATTAGCAGCATGGGAAGCACCTTCCCCTACCTCTTGTCCCAAAAGGATCGGGCAGTACTTTCAGTACAAGGAGGGTAAGAAGAGCACAGTTCTACCCTCGGACCCCTTGCAGGTATTTAGCAACTCTGCACTCTCCAAAATGTAAAATTAGTCTTGTCTGGTTGATGCAACCCTGCAAGCCAGCCTGAAGGATTTGGCCCAAGTCCATGGTCCACCCTGTTTCTGCCTTGCGCCCACAAAGCCACCAACAGTGGAGTAAAGTGCAAAGCAGCTGCCTCTGCCCCTTTACACTGACGGTGCTTTCCACTGCTGCAGCTGACAGAGAGGAAGTCAGCGGATGACAAAAGCATTTAGCTGCGCTTGCTTTCCTTAACAAGCTCTTTTCAGAGCTCTGCTCCCAAGTTCAACCTGTATGCACAAGGCATCTGGCTCCCAAGCAAACAGCTGCTATATAAATCTTCCAGCTCCTGGTTCTGCTTCTATTAAGTGGTACTCAATGAACACATCATACTGTGGTAACTGTACAGCACTTTCCTGTGTATCACGAGCTGGCAGTAATTTACACAGGAGACCTAATTCTTTTTCCACCCTATTCCCTGCTTCTGTCCCACCAGTCAATTTGGATCCAGTTGGCTACGATGCTCAGCAGGGCCTGTAACTCCCCAGGGCAAGCAGCTCACCAAAGACAGGTGACTTGGGAACCCTTCTGCCTGGAGAGATGGGTTGATATAGGCTCTGTGATGAGCATCGAAGGGAAGAACTGTTAGAAGAGCCAGGTCTGAGGAAGAGTCTGAGCCACACATCTACGCTGTTGCATTGTTAACTCTGCGTGACTTCATGCCAGTCTGGAGGAAAGCAAGGGTCGATCGCCGCACTGTCCCTGACTGTATCCAGTCTTCATTCTCTGCATATTCTATGACATTGCCCCTAGTGCTTTGGAAATGCCCCTCTGGCAACTTGAACATTGGGATCAGCTGATGTCACAGCTGACTTGCTGAGACCACAGCTTTTTGTGCTGCTCATTATCATCTCTGCTTCCCTGTATTCCCTTCTCTGTCTGTATCCACCTCTTTCCCATCCTGAAGTTGCATTACAGAAAAATTCATGGGTTGCAAGACACCTTTCTTCAGTCTGCATATTGGATAACAGGTAAGTGAACATAGCCAAGGAAGTCCAAAGCAAAACCAAGGGGTATTAGATTATAAATAAATGTCTCTATGGCTGACAGCACATTCAAATTTAAAAAGGAACAGTTTTAGAATCCAAGTGAGGTTTTTTGCACCAAAAAGAACCCCAAGAATCTTATTTTGGCTTAGAAATCACTCTAAAATTCAAGTTATGGATACTACCATAAATATGTGAGTCTTTACTAGTGTTACTAGAAGCAACAGCCTCAAATACAGCATCACTGTGGTACCACATTTACTTGTATTTACTTTCTAGCAATTGCCATTACAGACACACCATTTTAATTAAGTAATTTAATCTGTTACATATTTTGGATAGAATATGGTATTTGTCAGTCATTTAACCCCCCTTAATACTCTAAGTCATTAATCTCAAACTTGAGCTAAGCAGTCAGAGAAGAATAAAAACCTAACAGAAGTTCACATTAGTGCAGTGCATAAACAGGAAGGCAGCCTTATCCAGATGTTCACATTGGCTGATCTGCTCTTGTTGCAGTCAGCAGACACAGGGCCCAAGGTAAAGGCAAGGGTTCTACACTGAAGCTACAGGTGAAATGAGGAAAAATTTGAGCACCCTCCTTCAGCACCCTCAGCTTGCACAGAAGTCACAGGGAACTGCCATTTCTCTGCTACAGCTCAAAGAAAAACATAAAATAGACTAATTACATCCATAAGTCTTACATTTGCAACAGCTATTCTCAGATGCATTTCCGCCACTGCAAGGATTCTTGCAAATTTTCTGCTCTTTCCATGCAAGAAACCTCATGAACTCTTGAGATGCATCCTGAAGGGACTATTTGTTCGGAAAGATGGGCCTCCTGGGAGCTGGGTGGGGGAGCAGAGAGCAAGCCACCAAGCCTGGGGGCAAAAGCCCCCCCACGTCCAGGTGACCAATCACCCAACACACAGGAAATTAACAGCAATAGAAGTTCAAGTGCAGCAGAGGAAACGAGCTTCAAAAAAAAAAATCAACAACAAAACCTTAAAACCCAGTTACCCAGAAGATGTAAGAGACTGCCACCACTGTTGACTGAATTCTTCCTCTACAAAGTGTAATTCTTAAGTTATTTGGTCAAACAGGCAAAACTTACTGTTTACTGAATAAAGGCCTACCTATCCATAGTTCACTTCCAATGAGAACATACCCGTCATCATTTAACATGTCCCCAGCAGCAAAAAAATAGTAATGATTAAAAAAAATCCAACAAATATCACCATTAATCTAAAAAAACCCAGCAAACTCAAACATCTCTTGTACTTTGCAATGGGCCCAGCTTAAAAGATAACCTGATTCAAAACAGTGCTTAGATACATGCATAAGATGCCTGGGATAAGCCAAACAAAGCCAGTTTCTAAACGTCTTAATCTTTACACCAAAATAGAAGTGGCAGAAAAAGAACAAAACTAGTAGATTATAACTAAAAGCTGGCTGCAAAAGTGAACAGAAGGACTAACTGACCTGACTCTAGATTGGATTTGGGTCTTAGTACCCTCGATGAAGCTGCCAGCATTGGGTTACAAGAGAACTGAGTTAAGCTTTTTCAGGCTGAATCATTGCATAGCCCCACAAATACACAGAATATTTTGTAGTAACTATTCAGGAAGTATCTAGCAGTAGAAGGCACTTCCAAGTTGACTGAAATATATTCAGACAAACATAA